TCGGCTTCATTCTACTTTGCACCCTTGAAATATACCATTTTGGCATTTTACACCATCGAATTTTTTTATAGCACTTCACACCCTCGAAACACAATAAATCATGCATAATGCACCCCAATGAATTTTTAATGCTAATAAAGATAATTGGGTTAATTGCATTTCGCCATCCAGACTTTGCCCGTTTTTGCACTTTACCACCTTAACTAAGAAAAGCTGCACGGTCGCACCCAAACATTCATTTTTGACGCACATAACCACCTGGAGGGAATATTCTGGCGAATCTTTCCACTTTCCGGCGCACGCACGCTGCACATGCCAAAGTACGTGGGCTTTTTCGTCTTTTCCTTTAATGTCATTCTAAATGCCCTAATTTCGCACTAATTTTCCCTCCATCTCAATTTCTCCAAGTTTGATTTCCCTCCTCTTTACTTCCTCTTCTCTTCTCTCTTCCTTTGTCTGCATTTTTTTTTTCTTTTTCTCCTTGTTCTCTCTTCATTCTTTCGTTCTTTTGTTTAGGCTCTGGACATGTCACAAAGTAGTGGAGTCCAGGTCAGTAACACATGCTACTGTGCAAGAATGGCAATAATGAAAACATCTTGGACCGATTTGAATCCAGGGAGGAGATTCGCTATATGTCTCAAATATAAGGTATGAATTGTTTGTAAATTTCGTCAATCTTATTTTGAATCCATGGAGGAGATTTGCTGATTTTGAATTCTTATAACGTGTTCTGTTTTTTCCAGCAAATTGGGGGTTGCAAATACTATGTGTGGATTGACCCTCCAATGTTTGACCGATCTCGTAACATAATTCCTGGTTTACTTAGGAAGATCAACAAGTACGAAGATGAGTTGAAGAAGTACGAAGATGAATTGAAGAAGTGTGAAGATGAGTTGAAGAAGTGTGAAGATGATTTGAAGAAGTGTACAGAACAACTCATTAAGAAGGGGTCAAGGGAAAAATGGTTGTGGATTGCCTTGACAGTTGCAATGTTTTTAGTGTATATATATGTTTGTTTAGATGTTTAGAACAAGTATTGATCTTTCTATGTTATGTACTTGCCTTCAATTAAGTAGTTGTAATAACTTTTTAACTTTATGTTGTTATGTAATGGCAATATAGATTTGTAATGAATTTTATTGTATACCTACTGAGTGTTTCATAAGAAAAAAACCTAATTATCCAAAAAGTAACTAAGTGCACAAGAAACAAACTACATAGTCTTACCAAAATCCAAAATACTACAAAATAGTGCAAAGTCTTACCAAAATGCAAAATACATAGTCTTACCAAAATCCAAAATACTACAAAATAGTGCAAAGTCTTACTAAAATGCAAAATACATATTCTTACCAAAATACAAAATAGTTCTAAGTCTTACCAAAATGCAAAATAGTGCATAGTCTTACCAAAATATAAAATAGTGCAAAGTCTTACCAAAATGCAAAATACAAATTACATAGTCTTACCAAAATACAAAATAGTTCACAAGACCAACAAAAAAGTCATTCTCAAAAGAGCAATCCCAAAATGCAAAAAGTATTGATCTAAAATGTTCAAAATGTACTTAAATCACAACAAAAACATCATAACAAAGTAAATGGCCACTATTTCTTCTTTGGTGTGGCTATTCTTGGCCTCAGATTATGTGATGGGGATGAAGGCTGAAGCACAACTTGCTTCTTCCCTTTGCTTGTTTTGGCCACCATTGTTGTTTCCTTCTCCTTTTCCTTCCCCTTTCTTGTATCCGAAGAAACCATTGTTTCATTCTCCTTGCTTGTCTTACCAATAACCTGATTTTTTCCACATGTTAGAATAAAATAAATTATAAAAGAAATTAGGGATTTCAAACATATCTTAAATACATTACCTTTTCAGAAATCATAGATTTCTTCCCCTTTCTTGACACTGGTAATTTCTTCTTTGTTGAAGGCTCAACTACACTTTCTTGAGTTGGGTTAATGTAAAAAACAAGCTTCCTCTACATAAATGTAAAAAAAATCAAAAAAATCACAAAATCATAAATTAACATAGAAACAGTAGTTTGGCTACAAATCACAAAAGCTAAGTACATTTCTGTTAATAGCATTACTTGTTTGAACTTCAATATGAGGTTCAAATTTAGTGTGACTTTGTTGTTCTGTCACAGTTTGGCTTTGTTGCTGAGTAACAATAGCTTGTGTGTTTGACTTCTTTCTCTAGCATTGGAAACAAATTCAATTGCATTAGTTAACAATTAACTTACTCAATAAAGTAATGAATAATTGAAAACTATGCATATACATGGCCTTTATCATTAACTGCACCACTTGCCTTCTTCAAGGGGCAACTTCTTGCATTGTGGTTTTTCTTTTGACATGAACTACATGTCATTATGACACCTTTTCTACCCAAACTCCCAATTATTGTTACTGTTTTGGGAACTGGTGGTGGGATGTCCTTTGGACCATTGATTTCCCCTGGCTGCCTTCTTGTTTTGTGCAGTTTAGGCCTGCCTGGCATCTTCACAATGTCTGGAGGAAGCAAGGGTGGCTTTCCAGATTCAGGCCAAGATTCAATTCCTTCAAGTGTGTCAAGTAAGTGTCTGTACACTCTCATATAGGTGTTCTTCTTATACAAACCTTCAACATAATCTTCAGGTATTCTCCCAAGATAGTACATGCCTGAAATGGAATGTGCACAAGGAATTCCAGAGATTTGCCACTTTCTACAACTACATGTTTCATCTCCCAAATGCACCTTAAATCTATCACCATAGCAATTCTCAACTTCAAACTGATCCTTACCATTCCAATTAGCTATGAACTCCATTGATTTTTTCTTCAGCTCCTCTATCTGTGTCTGAATGTTAGGATAGATGTCACCCTTGTGGCTTGCCATCTTATCCCTCTTCACATGCAGCCTCTTCATCAAGGTCTTTCTGATTGCCTCCAACATATCAATTATTGGTAGACTTCTATGCCTTAGAATCATTGCATTAAAGCTTTCACACATATTGTTCAAAAGTGTATCACATTTTGAATTTGTATTGAAAAAAGCTCTACTCCAATGTGCAGCAGGCCTTTTTGCAAGCCATTTGAAAGCATCTTTATCTTTGGAGGCCATATCTCTCATCACTCGTTCAAAATCTACCACTCTTGAAGCTCTAGCAGCTTGCCACAAAATGTTCTTGAATGCTAATCATTTATTTGATACCTTGAAGTTACAGTACAAGTGCATGACATAAAATCTATGCTCACTGTTAGGCAGAACTTACTCCACTGCATCTAATAACCCCTTCTGCTTGTCACTCATGATGGTCCAATGGTGACTCTCCTCAATCTTCAAGTCTC